ATATATATATAATATACATATATATAACAGACTAGTCATGAGCAAGCATACATAAAACATGCATATAAATATACACATATACGAAAGAGCTATAACAAATGTTCCATTTAGGTTCCTACAGGAACATGTTACGGCATTCACCAACAACCGTCTCTCCGTCTTAATCAACCCCCCGGAGTAAGCTCTGAGCAATGCCCTTAACTCACCTGGAACCGAAATTGGGTCTCCTTCTAAACGACTGCCCTTTGAGAACCTGCTGTGTGGGGCTCCATTTTAGTTTGCCCACAACCCCCCTAAACCCTAAACCGTTTTCCGAACGCTTCTGTTCCCGCCCACCCTCTGGCATCGTCGCTTTTGGGCTCAAGATATACAATCAGAGCTCCAGTTTTGGCAGATTTAAGGTTTTAAGGTTGAGGGTTTAAGGTTTAAGGTTTAGGGTTTAGGGTTTTGGGTTCAAGGTTCAGGGGCTACAAGAGCCTACTTGTGATGGTACTCCCCTATCATGAGCCCCAGTGTAGACTTGACGGTGGCACTAGAGAGAATGAGGAGCCTATTTTTGGGTAGGGCTCAGGGTCTTGATCAAGGCAGGCCGCAGACAAGGGCATGGAAGTTGACTGTAAAGACTCAAGTTTCTCGTTTTCTAATAGGTTAAGTGTAGGATAAGTGTAGGATTTGACGGTTACGGTTTAGGTAAGCTTAGGGTTCAAGACATGGTGTTGTTTGTCAGTGTTCAAAGTACTGAGACGTATAAGCCGTTGTTCGTGATAATACGAAAGTACAACCAACCCGCGGCTGATGATGTAAATCCTGCATTGCCCTTTATGAGGAATATACCCTAATTCCTGTAGTTTAGGGTCCTTAAGGTAATGCAGTATTTCTATCATCAGCAGTATGCCAAGGCACAAATCTGTTCCCAGCTGCTATAGCAGAGGTGTTAGAAGACACGAACTCCTGGTAGATAAGAAGCAGTCTGCGTGTAGCTTCCAAGCAGCTGCTCCTGGACCAGAGGCGGGCGTTAAATCCAGGGCTTAATGGTTCCCTATACCCTAAACCCGAAAACCCGAAAACCCGAAAGCCCTAAACCCTAAACCGCTAAACCTAAGCCCGAAAACCCTAAACCCTAAACCAGGGCGGGCACATGGAACCCAAAAGGCCTACCTGTTAACGGACTTATGTCAGGAATCAATGGCCTAGAGGCTCCATGTACACTAACTATTGTGGAAGTCGGCCCCCCCAGAACCATGATAGGGATGCCTTTTTTTGGGACCCAATTTCATAATGGTAGCGATGGAGCCTCTGGGTAAGGAGCCCTAGACAGGTAGGTTCTTTAGGATCCAGGTAATCCCTAAAGCATTTAAACCCTGAAATCTAAACCCTAATCCCTAAACCATATACCCTTTAAAGGAACCCTTCGATCCCTAAATCCCTCGGTTCTTTAGGATCCAAGTAAACCCTGAAGCCCTAAACCCTGAACCCCAAAGCCTCATTGCGGCAACGCTGGCGCCGAAGAGTTTTGTTCTATAGTGGTTGACAACGACTCTTCCATAATATTGCGGTTTGGGTTTAGGGTTTAGGGTTTACGGCTCCCTAAACCCTAAACCCAGGGGGTCCAAGTACCCAAATAGTAGGGTTTTAGGTCCCAAATTCCATATTCTGAATGGTTTTTAGTACCTGAAACCCTACTATTTGAGTACTTGGACCCTTAGGGTAAACCCTTAACCCTAAAGTCAGGTTCGAGGGTTCATAGGTTTAGGGGAGTGTAGGGCTCGATCGGCCAAAAGGGCGTAAGTAGGGTTTTAGGGTTTAGGGTTTGGGGTTTAGGGTTTAGGGCTTCGGTTTTAGGGTTCAGGG